TGCATTTCATTCACCCCCTCAATTATGGTGGCGTTGAACTTAGATTTTGATAGCTGTTTGTAAAATTTAGGTTAAAGCAAGGAACTGTGTATAACAATACTATAAGTACCACATTAATCAACCACATTTTCTTCATAAGTCGAACGATGCGTGTTTGTTTTGAGCAAGATAACCAAACCAAGTTGTAATCAACACTAATTTATGATGTGTCTGTTAAAAGGATAACAAATGGATTTCTCTTAACGGAATCCGAAATCACTGACCAAATTTTAAGCAAAGTTTTCAGCAATATTGCCGAGTGATATCTGAATAGTGCTTACCAATTTTGTCATGATTATATGTGAGCACGGAATTTCTAATGGTACTATGAACAACGTAATTGGATTTATCTTATATTTCATGTAAGTAATTAAAGTTTTTGGATACGTTTATTTAGTGCTTGCCGTTTCTTTGTTAATACCAAATGACTATGTTAATTTTTAGGAGGATCAGAAAATGAAGAGCACTGTTTACTAGTAAGACACTTATGGGTACATTCTGTTACCTGCAATTCGGTTGATTATTGAATTTGATACTGATAACTAAGTTAATCTGTCTGCTTCACGACTGATTTGCCTTTTTCCAGCATTTCATGAATTTTTGAAGGTCCTCAAAGCTTTCTAATAAAGTCTTAACCGGCGAACTACTTGTGGAACTTATGATTGTAGAAGATCATGTGGAGAAACAGTTTGCAAATTTACGAAAACTGTGTTTCATATTGCCTACTGCCATGTTCATTCATTCACCCTTCTGTTGCGACATAACGATCACTTGCTTTCGCGTAAAACAACCTGAAATATACTTCTATACACTTACCTGTGTAGAGTTGAGCTTTCATAGTCTTCACATCAGCAGAAATGACCTACATACCAACTCTATCCATGATACATTCTATTACTTCATCCGTTGATTGGGAAGGCAATATAACAGGCTTCAAATTTTCTTTTTATTCTGACGACAATCTCCTGGCCCATGGATACAAATCACCCATGAACTACTACAAGGATGATTGTGAAGCATCGTTTGTGATTTGATGACATCTCCTTCATCTTCCAATCTTACACGGAAGCGTGATTGGCATTTAAGAAACTTAAACATTAAACGTCACGCTATGTTAGTATCACAACGGAAAAGGTGTTCAAGGTCATTTACTGAAACAACAGGTACAATCATTTAATGATAAAATATACAGACAGTGAAAGATTGGCAAAATAAATACAAACAATATTAAAAGCTATTTAAAAATAAGCTTGTCAGACCTATATATACGCTTATGACCAGATATGTAGTGAAACGTCACAAACAAGTATTATAATCTCACATCATTCAGCGATTTGCTTTCTGTGTGAAGATAATGTGTATGAGTAGTCTGAGAAGGGATAAAATTATCCTTCCATACTAGTTGGAACTCCTTTGGCTCGCTATCAAAGTCAATCCAGCTTGCAAAACGCTTGTTCAGTATAATACGTTGAAAAGCATCGCTTACGTCGACTGAAATGTCACTTGAACATGAAGCACTACAAAAAAGCAGCCGTTAATTTAAAAAAAGTTATTCCTTGAAACAATAATAACTAAAGAAAATACTTCAAATATTTAAGACTTGCCGGTGACTTGACATTTCGTTTGAACTTTTGCGTTTAACAGCTATTCAAACAAACTTTAGGTATCTATAATTTTAAGTTTATCTCATCTTTGTTACGTTGTTTTCTGGACCTTACCAAAAAATTACACAAATGCATTGGGGTTTACTACAGTAGTTGTGATGACAGATCAAGGTACGAGGCAACAATAGAGCTAACGTGTACACTACAAAACACAGAATGCTAAATTAATGCTTTTGGCAGTTATTTTTTGCTTCTTAATGCAGCAAAAGGCTACTTAAATGTAAAAAAAGCCTAATACTCGTTCAACCCAATAAACCCACGGCAATTGAAATACGGAATGACCGCCTATTGTCAGGCCATTCAAGGTCGTTTAAACGAAACGGCGGACAGCCTTGAAATAGTCTGACTTTTTCCCGTACCAGAATTGATCAGATGGCATGGCTCAGCCTTGCAGGCATGGTCATTGTTTAGTGCTGTTATATACCTTTTATTCATATTAAATATATTGTCCTATCTCTTGCTTAAGGGTATTGTTTACCATATATTGATGATTATTACGATGCAGTGAGTTGGTGTAGATAATGATGTGACTTCCACGTAATATCTTATAGATTAGGTAATTACATAGTGACAAATCTACAATTTTGGGATTAAGTTTATTTATGGAGCGGTACTTACAACGAAGTGAACCATAATTCTATATATGCACCCAAGGACCGAAGAAATTGGTAAGGTATGACAAAGCAAAAGCACCAATTTGTCCTCCATTCAATGGTCCATACAAAGTTATCTCAAAGAAACTCACATAGCTCAGCCGGCAGAGAATTTCGGCAATTGACAACTCTTAAGGAGTAGAAGCTATGTCAACAGTCCGTTTTGAGATATATTCACTTTTTATGCCAAGTACATGTGTGATTAGGCCATGAACAATCCACCGAGAAATAAAATGGGAAATGCCATATCAGCAGGGATATGTCACAACGAAGTGACGAATCTTTGACTGAGGTGAGTACGAAGTCTACACCTGTGAAACTAGTAATTTTTTCTAGGTTTTTCTGCCGATAACGGAAGATAGAGGAAAGTCGGATTTTAGCGAAGAACAAAACCCTTGTAGATAATTGCCCAAGGCCCAAACAATGAACTCTCGCTGTAACGACCGAGCTGCCAGTATTGGATTTGAACGCAGGACTGACGAACCAAAATTTATTCGGTTAGACCAGACAACGTTCTTCTGTTTAGCGTAATAAGCGTTTTTGAGATACTCGTATTAAATTATATCAAAACAAAAACTTTGTGCTCAATTTAAACGGTTCTAATTTAGGAAATATATAAAAAAATTATATAAAAAATAAAAAATACCTCAAACGGTACAGCCGTGATATACGGTCAAAGGTATCTCCAACGCAAAGTAGCACGCTAAACAATAAAGAAACAGATAATACCAAAGGGTTTGATACCTGAGAATCAGTAAACATATTCGCAACAAGATAGGATCAAATATCTATCTTCAGGGATTCCGGCAATTCTCCCAAGCAAACAGTCAAAAGGTTAACAGCAACACACTGAACCACGCCGTGACCTTGAGATTAGTCAAACACGGCCTTACCGTCAATAGCCCGGCAACATGCGACAGAAAATTAGGTAACAGAAGATAAGTCTTTAAAAAAATCACATAATAAACGCACAGAAGAGGAAGACTTAATAAGAAAAGATGTGGATAGGTGGGATCTGAACAAAGGTTAAAATACACGCCAAGGAGAAGAAACAAATAAATGACAGTAATCCCCAACAAAAAGCTGCGGAGGGATTTTCATCGTTCTCTTTCCGTTACACTCGCAATAACGACGAATTCCGAAGACAATCCTGGAGCTTTTCTTTAGTTCAGTAAAGGATCTTTTATGTTTACAGTACTTTAAAACGTGCAGCATCTTATACTCACTTAGGCTAGTAACATATATTTGGTTCATCACTGAAACATCACCTACAAACTTATCTTCTCTATAAGATACATTCAGTGATTTTATATGACAATAAAATACTATGGAAAGGTGGTTTGTAAACGAAGCATTTTAGATCAATGAATTGTTCGATACTTGTTAGTGGGTCTCACTGTCATTTTTACATGCTTATAAAGATTATGCACTAAACTGACGCATATTTTTATAATATGAATTTTAATGTAATCAGGTAACATAGATTCACTGGCGTTAGTCAACCCATTTTTTAACTACTGACGTTTATAAATCAATAAACGTGAACCTATTCCGGACGATTAAAAGCATTTTACATTTAAAACAACACTACCCACTTTTTCCATTGAATCTGACTTATTTTCGTTCCATGAGTTAGATTGCATCTTGCTAAATGGTTAGAGCTTCACGTTTAAATACAGCCTTTTTAAGAGTTCCTTAAATTTCTAAAACATCTTTAATAAATATATAAGGTTTAAGGTGACTGTTTAACTGACATGGTGGTCTTTTGACTACTGAGAATAACTGTGCCGGTGTCACTTACGCCATACTCGTAGAAGTCAACTTCTTCACATAAGAGTAAGGCTTCAATTATAACACGGGGGGACGAAGAACGCTTAATCCCAATGATTTTATAATGACAATATATATTTCTGCAATGGCAGGTACATGCCATTTTTACAGGCATTATCTATAAATTACAACGTTTATTGTTTCACAGTATACATGTTAAATAAATATAGTCTATGAAAGTGAATATCAGTTCATTCCTTCAGATATACTGAGTAATCTTCAAAATATCCTCCAAAAAGACATCGCGTATGTCCAGACATAATAATAGTAATATAACTGTGAAATGGTTTAGAGGACATAGAATATATCACAATGCACAATAATATTTATTTGAAACAACACAGCAAGAAACAGACACAGATAACCGTTTAGTGTACCAGATGGAGTCGAGGCTCATTGATCAGAAATATACAGGGTCTGACAAACATTTTGTCTTAAATTTCTCTCTATATATAGATTCCAGAGCCGACGAAATCAGAGGTCGGTAATAAATGGATGGGAAGGCATATTTGAGCAAATGTCAATATATGAGTGTATGTAATCTTACCAGATTACTTGTTATAGATGTGCAACCGGTGAACCCAGCCGTGATCTGATCCGGATATTTGACCAGACTTCTTCAACTGGGGCTGTGTCCATTGAAACTTATAAGGTTAGCATCAACGTCGAAAACTTATCGAGCTAGCTATTTGAGGGATTTATCTACCACTATATACAAACATTCCAGTAGTAAAAGTAATTTTTAATGGTGGCAGATGATAGCTTTATTTAGTCAGATACTTTGTTAATGCTGTTTTTTTCATTCCATGTTGAACCTCGAACAAATCTAGGCCGGTTGTCTGTAATGCGCTAGAATGGAAATCCTTAAACACGTTTTGGGGTTTTTGGTTTTCTTAAAGTTCTGTTCACCTTATGTTATTCAATTGAATTCAACAAATTGGAAACAAATGTTAGATGGTGAATGGCTCGTAAAATTGTAAGGAAGTTTTAAAGATTCGATATCTCGATATATAACAGTTTCCATTTATTGTTTTAATTGCTTCCTTAAAATAAAATGTAAGATAGTGGTTGCAAATGTAACACTTGTATTTTTTAAATCAATTTGTACGGCAGTTGCCATAATTCTCTGTGTAAAATCAAACGATTTTTCTAAAAAGAATATCAGTAGATTTATAGAATTTTACAAATCGACTGAATTCTAAAATTCATGAAATAATAAGAAGGCTCGCACGTATTCAGAATTTAATCCAACGTTTTGTTGTTTGTCTTCAGGCTACTAGTTTTCTACTACGAAGAAGCACTAGCTAGTCCGCACCTTCAATTGACTCTTTCTATAGAAGACTGGACACTCACAGAAGTATACTAGAAAAGGAATAAGATAGGCCGTAGGCCTTCTGTCCTTACTACAAAAATCTGACTCTAGTCACTCTACCGTGTTGTTTTAACCATCATTGTTGTAGTTCCATATGTTTCTGAAATTTCGCCATATGAGGTAGGCACAATCATATTAGAGGGTAATCTAAGATACAGAATCACACATTCTTCATTTCTTTACTCAGCAATTCCCCAAGTTGTGGAATTGTGCCTCTGGTAATTAATAATCAAGTTTCGTGTCACATAACGGTAATATAATATTGGCTCTCTGAATACCAATCAATAATAAATATGGATCCGCAGCATGATTTGCCAGTTTTTTATTTTATTGTTTTTAGACTATAATAGTTGCTCTGTGAAGTCGAAGTCAAACACTTTATATTGACCTATTTTAATAGATTCCATATCCTGGGTTATTTCCAGATATATTTTAAGGAATAAGATAAGGCTAGTAATATATTAGTTCACTCGGATTATCCCCGACTGATAGTTTATTCCCCTGTTCTCTGAATGTTAAAACGGTTCGGGTTCATGTAGCAGGTTTTGTGTTGCTTATAATCGACTGGCTAAAAACATATTAGCAATTAGTTGATAGTTTTACTGACTACTGTGTAGCGTTCATTTTTAGGTTGATGTTTAGTGAAAACACCAACCGCATTAACAAAGTTTTAGTAAGTCTGTGATATAAATGTTTTTCAGAAGTGTAAACTCGTTCATTACTACACTTTAGTCTTCAAAAACAATAGTATTACAATTCACTCCTTGTCATTTGCTTCACTGTTCGTATTCAATCTGGGCTGATGCATATTTGTTGATTATAAATTACTGGTATTAAAAACTGGGACTTTTTAATATGGTTCTAAAATAAGACATGTAATATCAATGTACGACAATAATTCGCTTGTCATCACATTTTTTAGAGCTAAAATATAGGCTTGACCAATAAGTTCCTATAACTTGGTTATAATATGGTTGACTGAATTCAAAGTGCATATTATCTATAACAGAAGACAGTTAGTTATCAGTAGCCTAACTTTTCCTGTCAGCTGAAGTACTAAAGAGAAAATCTTCGTTTATTACGAACTTTTCCTTCGAACCTTAATTATTGAAATAGTACTTGATGGATTAGAATTTTCAACTGAAGAATGGTCAGTCATACAAATAAAAGCGATAGCTCTGTGCTTCACTAGACGTATCTTTATGTAAAAAAGGATGTCATTACATATTCTGAATATATATTAGCTGTCTCACCATACAATTTTTGTTCCGGCTGGTTCCACTCTACTCGTGGGTCGTTGCAATTACACATCTCTTCATCCGTCACCATATGTTTGTACCAAACAACCAATTAAAACTAACTTTTATGTGGATATGGAGTTCCAAAAACACAGAAATTTCTCGTTTGGTAGCTAAGCGGTGCTAATAGAATAATGCATAATAATTCGCTGATGAGTATGTTCTGAAGTACTACCAGGGGGCCATAGGGAGGCAGTTGGTTACCTCAGAAGACTACTTCCCGAGTCTTAGACCATGAGTTTTAATTCTAAAGTCAGTCAGTCAGTCAGCTACAACGTAGGACCAGGCACATGTATGCATCGGCCCAGGTTGCCATACCTCATTAGCACAGCAAGATGAACACCGGATTCATAGGAGTGGTTAGGTCAAAGGTGGTAATATATAGGAGAAAGATTGCAATAAGGATATAGTATAGGAAGAAAGAATTAGTTCGTAGAAAGAAAGATGTGAAGTGATCTTAATCTCTTAGTTTAAGAGAAGACAGAGAGTGTATACACCGACGCCATTGTGATCGATTCTGAGCCATGTCACCAAGAGTCTCCAACCATTGGTTACGAAAGTCACGCGGACCCCAACCAAGTAGTCTGCATCTACCAACATGGCTCAGACTAGAAGTTAGTGACTTCAGGCACTGATGCCACGTTTTGGTTTGGCCGCCCCTAACTTTCTTCCAACCATCCCCTACACCGGTTAGCATTGCACGTCGTGGTAATCGGTGTTCAGGCATACGTAATACGTGGCCCAACCATCTCAGTCGATGAAGATTCATAACCTCATCAACTGATTTACCATCATTCCCTAATACCCTGCGTCTAACCTCACTATTACTTACCCGGTGATCCCAGCAGATGCCAGCAATATTTCTAAGGCATCTGTGGTCAAATACTAGTAGCTTACGGGTGTCTTCTACTCTTAAGGGCCATGTTTCGCTGCCGTAAATTAAAACAGAACGGACAGCCGCGCAGTATACTCGTCCTTTTATTGATAGACGGATATCTCGCCTCCGCCAAAGGTGACGTAAGTTGGCAAAAGCCAAACGAGCTTTACGAATCCGTGCTGAGATTTCGTCAGACACCAACCCATTAGGGCTGATCAGACTTCCAAGATAAGTGAAGTTGTCAACGCGTTCGACTACTTCACTCCCTATCCTTAGTTCAGGTGTTGACGCAGACCAGTCCTGAAGCAACAACTTGCATTTAGAGGGAGAGAAGCGCATCCCAAACATTCTGGCATTGTTGCTTAGTGCTACCAGAAGACTCTGCATTTTGTCAGCGTCTTCACCAAACAGGACTATGTCATCTGCGTATTCTAAGTCGATAAGTGGACCTCCTGGAAGGAGATCAATACCCGAGAATTCAGTCGACGAGAGTGTTATTTCCATCAATAGGTCTATGATGAAGTTAAACAAAAATGGAGAAAGTGGGCAGCCTTGACGGACACCACTTGAGGTTGCAAAAGTAGATGACAGTTCGCCATAAGCCCTGACTCGACTAGTAGTGTTCGAGTAAAGAGCCTTCACAAGGTTTATGTACTTCTGAGGTACGCCTTTCAATGACAGACACTGCCACAGAGTCTCGCGGTCTACAGAGTCAAATGCTGCTTTTAAGTCAAGAAAGACCACCATCGTCGGACGCCGATAGGTATGCCTGTGTTCTAGAACCTGACGAATGGTGAATATGTGGTCGATGCAGCCACGACCAGGTCTAAAGCCAGCTTGGTTCTCTCGTGTTTGTAGTTCACGAGTCTTAGTTAGGCGTTTGATAATTATCGAGGCCAGTATTTTAGATACTATGTTTGTTAAACTAATCCCTCTGTGGTTGTCACAGGATGATTTTGACCCTTTCTTATATATTGGGACGATAAGTGATTGCGACCAGTCAGATGGGATAACGTCTAATTCCCAGATCTTAGCTAAAATATTAGTCAACCTAATCGCTAAAATTGGACCACCATCCTTAAAGACCTCTGGAGCCAATCCATCTGGACCAGCTGCCCTTCCTCGTTTCAGATTAACTATAGCCTTCTCAACTTCAGCAAGAGTTGGGGGACCTACTTCAATGTTCCATTCACTTGTCTGGGAATGGAGGGTAGTTGTAGAGTAGCTGAAGGCCAGCTGAACTGTTCTCTAAAATGTTCCGCCCATCGTTCTAAACGTCTGGACTGGGAGCAGATGAGAGTATCATCTTTTTCCGAAATAATCTCACTTACACTTGACTTATTAATTCCAGTTTCTTTTATTAGTCTGTAAAGCTGTCTTGTGTTCCCTATAGTCGCCGCCTTTTCCATCTCTTTTGCTTTCGTTACCCACCACTGCTCACGGTCGTTCCTTAGACTTTTTCTTAACCTAGATCTGATTTGTTTACGCTCTTCATCATGTTCAGAACCTGATGGGACGAGTTTGCGAGAATCCATCAGTGTGACAGACCTTGAAGAAATCCACTGGTTCCTTGTAACTCTGTGGTTTAAGTCACTAATAGATGTCACTGCTGTTTCCACAGCTGCTTGTATGCCCTTCCAAGCAACATCTGGGTCAGCCTCGTCTTCACAACTACCTAAGTGTGACCTCAGTTGTTCCTGGAACCTACTTTTGGTTTTCTCGTTACTCAACTCAGTTCTAATGGGTCTTTTTAATGTGGCTTTTTTGCGTCCAGTGAGGCGCAAGCAGATGCGTGCCCGTATTAGGGCATGGTCGGAGTCCAAGCAGGTACTCCAGAATGAGCGACAATCTTCTACCGACCCTCTCCAACGATGACTGATGGCAATATGGTCTATTTGAGTCCATCGTTGGTTTGGTGTAGGGGGTCGCCATGTTAGACGATGTCTCTCCTTATGCTTAAAATTTGTGTTTGCTAAAAATAAACGATTGTCTGAGCATAGCTGCAGCAGACGATCACCATTATCTGTTCGCTGTGTCGGAATACTAAAATATCCACCTAAATGCCTTTCTGTTTGGTTTAAACTGCCTATCTGAGCATTAAAATCACCTGCTACGAGTACTATGTCTGAGCGTTTAGCTTTCTGAAGAAGTTCGGATAGCTTTCTGTAAAATTCATCTTTCACTTCATCTGAGCTGCAGTCAGTGGGAGCGTAGGCAGAAACGACAAAAAGGCAACGACGTGTGTCCCTATCCTTCCGAGTTCTTACGTAGCCGTTCAGCCGAACAGCACATAGACGACTGTTGACGGGGATCCACTCTAGCAGTGCTTGTTCGGCCCTCATGCTTAGTGCTATGCCTACACCTGCCAGTCCACGAGAACTTGCCATCGGGTCACCAGACACACGAAGGGTGTATCTCGTTGGCTCTCCGTCTTGCCGAGGTGAGGTCAAGTGAATGACCACACTGGAATCCTGTATGCGTGTTTCGGAGACACAGCATACATCAATGGAAAGAGACTCTAGGGTTTTAGCCAAGGAAGCCTGCTGACCGATTTGACATAGGGTGCGTACGTTGAAGGCTCCAATGTGTAGTTTGGAGCGAGGTTTCAGTAGACCTGGGACAGTGTTTTGCGCACTAGAATCGTTGGCTACGGTGACACTTGAGGTGGAAGCCGAGAGAGGAAATATAGAGTTGAAAGTCGATGTAGGAGGAATAATAGGAATTGAAGAGGAGGTTGATTATGAATACAGTGGTCTTGAGTGCTGTTAGAAGTATGAGGGCGGTTATCACTTCCCGGTTGCCCACACCGTGGAAGGGTTGTTCTGGAGGTACCTGAAAAGGAAATTGGATTAAAGGTGGTCTTAGTGAACTGAGAGCGTGACCGCAGTGCCCAAGGGACAACTGCTTGAGGTCGGTCACACACGACCTTGTTATGGGTAATTTTTGTGTTAGCTCCGTACTTATTGAGACCTTACCGCCGGAGACGGATATCCGTGGGATAAGGCGAGGTGTGCATTTTTAGGGTCGACCTTTTCTAACCCCACCCCTCCTTGTGGGAAGGCAGCATCGCTGTCATGCTGGTTGTCTGAAGGAAACACCTTACTGCTGTCACACCTCTGTACAGTCAGCAGTACGACTTCGCCTTCGGACCTTGGGTTTGTTGCTTTTAGTCTTACCGCTCTTCAACCGACCTGTCTGACATGGTAGGACCTTGAGGAACGGTTGTTCCAGCCAGTATAGCTCGGTTGCTTCATCACGATAGGCAAGCCCGACCACCACGTCAAGGTAGCAACAACGGTCGGGTTTAATTCTTAAGGGTATGAAGCAATTTCGGAAGACGCACTCTCATATTAGTTGGGGGCAAAATTAGTTCTTTTTCTCATCCGCCATTCAGGGTTCGAAAGCCTATGTACACTATTGGTTTGGCATTACAGTTTACCAACTCACCTAGGTAGACCCGTCTTTATCAACCTTGTTTAAGTGGCGGTTTTTCGCTTCTTGTCCTCTAAGTTTCATAGAAACCACCACGTAAAAACACAGGACAGAAATTTCACGGAAAAGACTACCAGCACATGGCCGTATGAAAACATTGAGGGAGGAATGGACTCTTTTCACTCTTGCCTGTACTTAAAGTTTTCAGGAGCTCGGATTAAGGTTTAGTGGTGGTATTGCGTAGCCTTCTGTGACATCCTGTACAAAGTTGATCGGAGCCTTCTTAGCTAAAGTCTCTCCGTGTATTGTTGACTGGACTACTTCATATGATAAACTAGTATCCTTTTGATTGTACTCTCCGTTCATCTCTTACTTTTTCACAATGTCTCCATTTGTGTACCCGACCGTTGTGCTACCTTGACGTGGTGGTCGGGCTTGCCTATCGTGATGAAGCAACCGAGATATACTGGCTGGAACAACCGTTCCTCAAGGTCCTACCATGTCAGACTGGTCTGTTGAAGAGCGGTAAGACTAAAAGCAACAAACCAAGGTCCGAAGGCGAAGTCGTACTGCTGACTGTACAGAGGTGTGACAGCAGTAAGGTGTTTCCTTCAGACAACCAGCATGACAGCGGTGCTGCCTTCCACAAGGAGGGGTGGGGTTAGAAAGGTCGACCCTAAAAATGCACACCTCGCCTTATCCCACGGATATCCGTCTCGGCGGTAAGGTCTCAATAAGTACGGAGCTAACACAAAATTACCCATAACAAGGTCGTGTGTGACCGACCTCAAGCAGTTTGTCCCTTGGGCACTGCGGTCACGCCGTCAGTTCACTAAGACCACCTTTAATCCAATTTCCTTTTCAGGTACTCCAGAACAACCCTTCCACGGTGTGGGCAACCGGGAAGTGATAACCGCCCTCATACTTCTAACAGCACTCAAGTCCACTGTATTCATAATCAACCTCCTCTATTCCATTTGTGTAGCGCACGTGTTTTGGTTCTCTGCTGTACCAAAGTTTACGTGTGCTACATAGTAATTGTTATCACAGATTCCAATAACAAAATGTTGATATAACAAACTAAACAAATACATATTTGTGCACTCGTTCTTTATGGAAAACATGTTAAACATTCTTAAACAGACTAGTGCATCTTTTTCTTGGAAGCTCTGCACACAGGATTAATGAAACCAAGTTGATGGGGAAGCTATGCATATCTGAACTGTTTTATAGTATTGTCATAAGTTTTCAAATGTATCGTTCATTTTCACATAGACAACTGTATTGTATTAACTAGTAATATCTAGAGAATTTTCTGGTTTTGTTTTGATTTTGAAATAGCCATGCTCCTTGGTGTCCAGCTTGTCGACAGTTTTCACCAATTTGGCAACAACTCTCTGATGATAGTTCAATCAATGCTTTTGTCGCAGATGTTGATGTAACAGAAAGTCCTGTCCTTAGTTTCATATTTTTTGTCAAGCGATTACCAACTGTCTACCAGTAAGTTTAATTTTAAGTAGAATTATTTCCATAACTCAGTACGTAGATTAAAGTTACGAGTTTCCTTTGAGATATTATCAGTTTGTAATTCTTTGTTTTGTCACTGGATAATTTGTTGAAAACAGCTCCGGGAGACTAGTTTTACAAACAGTTTAATGAATCAAACAGACAGGTGAAATTGTTACTAGTTTGATGCGCCATTTAACTTAGTACTCATGCTATTTTTGTATTATTCACATATACGTAAAACATTCTTGAACATTCAGAGACCGGTAAGAGCATTCATACTTCACTGTTTAAGAAACTGTAACGTAACAATGTAGTAGACACGGTAAATACTCGGTGTGTTTGATCCATTTTTCATCAATCTCATTTGCAGCTATGCCTCTTTCGTCAAGTGATTCAAGCTTTGTCACTCTTGAAGGTTTATGTAATTTATTGATGATAACAACTTTCGATGCTTTTAAAAACATAAAAGTACAGCCCAATGTTTATCACCGTCAATGTAGTTGTAAATTACCCGCTTCTTAGTTTAATATCATTAGATTTCTAACCATCGTATAAAATTGGAGTAGTTTATTGATCTTTAGTTAAACTTAATGAATTTGTTAACCATATCATTCTAACTCTATAAAATTATTGCTGTTTTTATCGTCTGTTTTTCACTTGCATTTCTAATGTTTCATATTACTCTTCCATTATGGTTTGTTAGTAAGTGTAGCGTTTTCACAAATTATTCCTAGTGATTTTTAGAGTTGCCTACAGTCTTCACTATTTTGATACATTTGAGAAAAGCAAGAATAGTGAATGTAGCAGTATAACACAAAATAATCAATTTTATGGTTTCTGTTCAACTGCTAACAAACTAGGAACAATGGTACTAATTCTTTAAAACTAATGTACATACTTTACATCATCTCAATGTGGATTAATAACTTAACAGTAATAAATGTACTTACCCTTCATGGAGAAGTATGGGCCTCACACCAGCATTATCCATCGAACCTCGTCTTGTAAAATTCTTTCCAGTTGCTATTCATTCTTTTCATGTATGCTCCCAATTCCCGAATCAGTATGTTCTTTGGTCCTCCTCTTTTCCTTTTGCCCTTTCATCTGCGTACGATCCTCCTTGTTCATCGATGATGCTGTCCAGGTACGTGGGAGTTTCCACCTCCTCTAGAACTTTTCCACTAAGTGGATCGGTCATGCACAGACCAAATTTTGACACTACGGATCAACGTCGAACAATGAATTAAGTGGAACTCGTCACTATACATCAACTTCATTGATTATGAAAAGGCATTTGACAATGTAGATAGGAGAACGTTATGGAAAATTCTTCGACATTACGGAGTTCCTGAGAAGATTGTCAACATTATCCGGGACTCATACGACGGACTACAGTGCAAAGTAGTGCATGGAGGACAGCTGATAGACGCATTCCAATTAAGGACCGGAGTCAGACAAGGCTGTCTACGCTCCCTTCCTTTTTCTTCTTGTGGTCGACTGGATTATGAAGACCTCGACATCTGAGGGAAAACACGGCATACAATGGACAGCTCAGAATCAATTAGACGATTTGGACTTCGCAGATGACCTAGCCCTCCTATCGCATACACACAAACAAATGCAGATAAAGACAACCAGTGTAGCAGCAGTCTCTGCATCAGTAGGCTTCAACATACACAAGGGGAAAACCAAGATCCTCATATACAACACGGGGAACAGCAATCCAACCACTCCTGATGGCGAAACTCTGGAAGATGAAGAATCCTTCATGTACCTTGGAAGCATCATCGATGCACAAGGAGGTTCAAATGCAGACGTAAAGGCGAGGATTGGCAAAGCAAGAGTCGCATTCCTACAATTGAAGAACATATGGAACTCAAAACAACTTTCAACCAATATCAAAGTGAGAATCTTCAATACGAACGTCAAGGCAGTTCTACTGTACGGAGCTGAAACTTGGAGAACTACTACAACCATCATCAAGAAGGTACAAGTATTTATAAATGGTTGTCTACGCAAGATACTCAACATCCATTGGCCGGATACCATCAGCAACAGCCTTTTGTGGGAGAGAACAAACCAGCTTCCAGCTGAAGAGGAAATTAAGAAAAGACGATGGAAATGGATAGGACATACACTATGCAAATCGTCAAACTGCATCACGAGACAAGGCCTAACTTGGAATCCTGAAGGAAGGTGGAAAAGAGGAAGGCCAAAGAACGCATTACGTCGGGAAATAGAAGCAGATATGAAAAGGATGAATAGGAACTGGGATGAGCTGAAAAGGACTGTCCAGGACAGGGTTGAATGGAGAATGCTGGTGAGCGGCCTATGCTCCTTCATGAGGAGTAACAGGTGTAAGTAAGTGATTAGATTGGTTGATGTTCATTGTGCTGTATTTGCGGATTTTGGTTTTTCCTTTGTGTATGTTGAAGCCTGCCAGTTCAGAGGCTGTTGCTGCATTGGTTGTCTTGACTTGCATTTGTTGGTGTGTATGAGATAGAAGGACCAGATCATCTGCGAAGTCCGAATCTTCTAGTCGCATGCAAGCTGTCGATTATATTCCGTGCTTACCCTTAGATGTGGAGGTTTTCTTAATCCAGTCAACCACCAGAAGAAACTGTGATGTTTGTATAAACTAATTATTCCTCCTGATTTCAAATTCCAAATACGTTACGTTGGTTTGTGCTCGTCTAGTTCTTTTTGGTATAAATTGCGTCATTTCTGGGATTCCTAGTCCGTACAATGATTCAAATACTTATACTCTTCCCGGAAACACAAAGGCGGAGAGTAAGCAGCCTTGTCTGACTCGGGTCCTCACTTGAAATGCGTCTGTGAGCTGTCCTTCATGCATGACTTTGTAGTGTAAGTCCGTCGTATGAATTTCGTATGGGGTTGACGATGTTCTACAGTACACCATAGTGAAGGATGAAATCCCGAAAGGTCCACCTATCCACACTGTCAAATACTTTCTCATAATCAAGGGGGGTGACGTATAGTGACTAAATCCATTCATTTTATTGTTCAGGGTTGATCCTTAGTGTTAGGATTTGGTCTGTCCACAACCGATCCTTACGGAATCCGGTTTGTCGATCTCGAAGTTGGGCGTCTACTGCATGTTTCATCTGGTTCAGCAACACTGTTGAAAACCTTTCCTGGTATTGACTAGTGTGATGCCTCTGCATCTGAGTTCTCACACTTAATCAGACCTCCTTTCCTTGGTATCTTGATGAGCTATCCTTCTTTCCAATATGTTGGCACCTGTTTCTGCTCCCAAATCTTCCTGAATAGAATGTGTAGCATGTTTGCAGTTACCTGTATAACTGGCTTCTGTGCTTCTTCTGGTATGCTGTCAGGTCTTGTTGCTTTCCAACTCTTGATTTACCTGATTTATCCGACCGTTGGTGGAGTGACATCTATAGTAAGGTTTGGGCGTGCTGCTTCGATGTCCAGTGGGTTTTAGTGTGGCTAGTCCATCCAAGAATTTCTCGAAGTATTCTACCTATCTCTTCCTCGGTTCTTGAATCTCGGTGGTTGTCTTGCCTTCTTTGTCCTTGACCGGTCTCTCTGGGTTGCTATATCTCCCTGCTAGTTTCTTCGTTGCGTCATATAGTTGTCTCATATTTCCTCTTGTAGCTCTTTCCACTGTCGTTGCTAGCCCTCCCACGTATTTCCGCTTGTCAGCTCTAATGCTCTTCTTCACTTGCGTGTTTGCTTCTGTGTATTCAGCTTGTGCCTTAACTTTCTCCGATCTTGTTCGGCTGTTGTTAATTGCCGTATTTTTGTTCTTCCTTTCTTGAATCTTTTCCAGTGTTTCTATAGAGATCCATTCCTTATGATGATGCTTCTTGCGGCCCAGCAACTCCTGACATATTGAAGTTAGTGCTTCTTTTATCGCTTTCCCGTTGTCCTTCGTCGTAGTTTCTTCTTCTTTGAGTAGATCTTTTAAGGCTTTGCACCTGTTGTTGAGAGTTATTTTGAATTCGTTGAGTTTGTCAGTATCTCTAAGGAAGGCTGTTTCTCCATTTGTATATTGCTACTTTAGCTACAGTTTCATCTTGGCTACCACCAGTTGATGATCTGAAGCTATATCACTTTCTCTCCTAATTTTCACGTCTCCCATTGACTTTTTGAATTTTTTAGTGATGCCAGTATGACCTATTTAGTTTTTTGTAATATGATACAGTACGACTCATGTAGCTTTGTCTATGACTTTGTGGGGGAATATCAGTCAGTCAGTCAGCTACAACGTAGGACCAGGCACATGTATGCATCGGCCCAGGTTGCCATACCTCATTAGCACAGCAAGATGAACACCGGATTCATAGGAGTGGTTAGGTCAAAGGTGGTAATATATAGGAGAAAGATTGCAATAAGGATATAGTATAGGAAGAAAGAATTAGTTCGTAGAAAGAAAGATGTGAAGTGATCTTAATCTCTTAGTTTAAGAGAAGACAGAGAGTGTATACACCGACGCCATTGTGATCGATTCTGAGCCATGTCACCAAGAGTCTCCAACCATTGGTTACGAAAGTCACGCGGACCCCAACCAAGTAGTCTGCATCTACCAACATGGCTCAGACTAGAAGTTAGTGACTTCAAGCACTGATGCCACGTTTTGGTTTGGCCGCCCCTAACTTTCTTCCAACCATCCCCTACACCGGTTAGCATTGCACGTCGTGGTAATCGGTGTTCAGGCATACGTAATACGTGGCCCAACCATCTCAGTCGATGAAGATTCATAACCTCATCAACTGATTTACCATCATTCCCTAATACCCTGCGTCTAACCTCACTATTACTTACCCGGTGATCCCAGCAGATGCCAGCAATATTTCTAAGGCATCTGTGGTCAAATACTAGTAGCTTACGGGTGTCTTCTACTCTTAAGGGCCATGTTTCGCTGCCGTAAATTAAAACAGAACGAACAGCCGCGCAGTATACTCGTCCTTTTATTGATAGACGGATATCTCGCCTCCGCCAAAGGTGACGTAAGTTGGCAAAAGCCAAACGAGCTTTACGAATCCGTGCTGAGATTTCGTCAGACACCAACCCATTAGGGCTGATCAGACTTCCAAGATAAGTGAAGTTGTCAACTCGTTCGACTACTTCACTCCCTATCCTTAGTTCAGGTGTTGACGCAGACCAGTCCTGAAGCAACAACTTGCATTTAGAGGGAGAGAAGCGCATCCCAAACATTCTGGCATTGTTGCTTAGTGCTACCAGAAGACTCTGCATTTTGTCAGCGTCTTCACCAAACAGGACTATGTCATCTGCGTATTCTAAGTCGATAAGTGGACCTCCTGGAAGGAGATCAATACCCGAGAATTCAGTCGACGAGAGTGTTATTTCCATCAATAGGTCTATGATGAAGTTAAACAAAAATGGAGAAAGTGGGCAGCCTTGACGGACACCACTTGAGGTTGCAAAAGTAGATGACAGTTCGCCATAAGCCCTGACTCGACTAGTAGTGTTCGAGTAAAGAGCCTTCACAAGGTTTATGTACTTCTGAGGTACGCCTTTCAATGACAGACACTGCCACAGAGTCTCGCGGTCTACAGAGTCAAATGCTGCTTTTAAGTCAAGAAAGACCACCATCGTCGGACGCCGATAGGTATGCCTGTGTTCTAGAACCTGACGAATGGTGAATATGTGGTCGATGCAGCCACGACCAGGTCTAAAGCCAGCTTGGTTCTCTCGTGTTTGTAGTTCACGAGTCTTAGTTAGGCGTTTGATAATTATCGAGGCCAGTATTTTAGATACTATGTTTGTTAAACTAATCCCTCTGTGGTTGTCACAGGATGATTTTGACCCTTTCTTATATATTGGGACGATAAGTGATTGCGACCAGTCAGATGGGATAACGTCTAATTCCCAGATCTTAGCTAAAATATTAGTCAACCTAATCGCTAAAATTGGACCACCATCCTTAAAGACCTCTGGAGCCAATCCATCTGGACCAGCTGCCCTTCCTCGTTTCAGATTAACTATAGCCTTTTGAACTTCAGCAAGAGTTGGGGGACCTACTTCAATGTTCCACACACGTGTCTGGGAATGGAGGGTAGTTGTAGAGTAGCTGAAGGCCAGCTGAACTGTTCTCTAAAATGTTCCGCCCATCGTTCTAAACGTCTGGACTGGGAGCAGATGAGAGTATCGCCTTTTTCCGATATATTGTGCCGCCCATAACCATTTTGTTGAACGCAAATAAATTTGCAAATCTTTGACGATCTCCGTTCATTTCCCCCAGTAGTTTGTTTGTTCTGGTTAAGGTTATTTTCTACGGGATAGGATTTTTGATCCCATGTCAAACCATCCTCCTTTGTCCGGGCTTGAGACCGGTAGTAAACCCAGAAAAGCTACAGGCGTATTGGCAATAAATGTGGGAGAATTATATTCATTATTCAACTATTAGTACATTTTCATGATTTCCCCCTATTAATAACCGTTACTTTACCAAAATTCATCAATGTGATATAAAGTATATACGCTGATCTTAAATAATTAATATCGTTCTTTTTAGGTCATATTAAGCAGAAGAGAATTTAAAAAATAGCTTCAACTGACTCATGAGTTCAATCTGTGAAAATTTCTAAAAATCTCCACAAACACATTCTGATAAATGAATTTATATTATTCCACTAGGTCCGCTGATCCTATCTTATGTTTCTAGAACTCTTCGCCAGATACGATGAATTTATTTCTCGATACACAATCACAGTATTATATTAATAAATGTTCTGTTTTACTGTTCGTAATTCGTCTGTTTGTTCATTCGCTCATACCAAACATGGTAAAAAAATCTGAAAGATTAGAAAATATTTTGTAAAATCTACTCGGCCTACTTACAAGTAGTGGAGTAATCTCTGCCAAAATAATATTGCAGAGAAAATAATTATTGAGCAGTAAACATGGCCTGAAACAAATTTAATAAACTACAGCTTATAAATCATTAGTATAAAGTAGAACTAATTGATTCTGGGAACTAGAAATGCAACTCATTGCAAACGGGCAAATTTGTTATGTTGTTTTAATCTAAGTTGTCCGTTTTTCAAATATGTGTATAAGAAAATTGAGGTGCTGAAAACGAATAGAAATTAATACATGACTTCCCTGTGCATATTATGATTTCAGTGTAATCCTTGACAGTTCGAAAAAGTTTTCTACGTTTGAAGTTTGAAGCTGGATGAGTTAGTTAATAACGTCACGATCCCTTTAGCCGTATGTTTATGTCAATTTAGCACCGTAGGAAAACTTAAAGATAGCTTTTGACCATAGCATTATCAATGAAAAGTATGTATACAGACAAAAAATACAAATTCAAACTTGGTGTCACTATAGAGAAGTGACTTCGACATTGAATTACCATACTTCCACCCATTAAGTCACAAGATCAAAAACTGATCCACTTACGTCACCTTGGAAAGCATAGTGGAATCACTAGCCTTCACACACATAAATTGACTCGAAGCCTAGTGTATTAATCTTCATTCGCTTATTAAGTTATATCGAATTAAATTTTTACAAAACTCCTTAATTGGTTACGTATGACTGATTTTAAAACACGAAGTCATAAAAGTGAATAAGTTTGCTTATATGATTAGTAATTTAATTACGATAAAGTTTAATATATATTTTATTATTCTTTGCTTAATATAAAATATACTTTAACTTGACTTTAAATAATTCATCAAGTGCATATCTTTGTATTTCAGTGTAAAAAATGGCCTATTCAGAGTATACGACGGGGCAAGAACTCTTGATGATCTCAGAGTTTATGTAAAATCTGAAAAATATGAAACTGAAACACCTTTACCATGGTATTACTCACCAGCATCTTTTCAGTAATTTTTACCTGTTATTTATAATATTTTCTTTCTATAAATTACATAGTATGCATATTTTCATACGTTTCATGGATCTTGGCATTTTCATTACGGTTTGTATTTATAATTACATTTAATTGTTCATTAACCTGGTTTATTTATAGAATACTCATCAAGCATTTTTAGATGCTGGTTATAGTAATTGGATGTCATTTTTGATCATTGGTCTATCGACTATATTTTCCGGACTGTTCATTGGAATTGTAGGTTTTCCAAAACAAGAATATCTATTTGTAATTTTTTTCTTTTAGATACTTGTATTGATTTTTGATTGTTTTTTCCCACCGCGTCCACAAATCCTAAGATTTATTAGGAAACCTAAAAAGGTGGAAGAATCTGTAAGTCTTGCTCTTTTTTTGCCATGACTTAATTATCCATTTAGTTTGTTTTGCATAAATAACGGCTCACTGATTTCCAGTCAGTAGGGTGTTGGTCCTAACTCAGTCCTTAATTCAGTTTGGATAGTCGAGCAGAGTATCACTAGCCCTCATATAAATAGTATTGCTCAGAGTGGAGTACATAATTTCGTACTTGGTGAACGGATCACACTGTTATGTTTTCGTTACTGACTAACCATAATTTTTTGATTCACGCTAGAACACATAATAGCTAGCATGAGAATCAAAGAAAATTATAATAAGGAGTCGAATATTAATGGTAGTTACGTAAAGTTGGTAAAGGAATTTAACAATTACGTCAGAGGGAAACAAAAAAGGAAAATTGAGCGTCGATTTTGTTGATGACCACTATGGGAGAGCAGTTTTAAAAATTCCTTGCGAAGCCATTCATTTGGTTTGTTAAGATGGATATGAGTAAATTTCAGGTAAAGCCTAAATTAGTCGACCGTCATCTTATTCTCATTACACGGACAATTTCGTAGTACATGCTAGTAAGATGACAAAATCTAACAAAACTCATCCGTCTATCATGTTCACCGTAGGTTAAGGATTTAATTATATCACTTTTTTAAGTGTCTTGTTAATAAAGAAATCAAGTGGAACGTCAAAAGAAGCTATGCACAGGAAATTAACATCAACTAGTCAGCATACTTATCTTGCACCTGGTGAAAACTCTAACATATCGCGACAAGCCTATTTATTTTGATCAAATAATTGGAGTTGAGTTAAAGGATACTCACAACTTACTGCGAACAGATACCTGATAAAGTCAGTCCTTTAGTCAGCTGCAACGTAGGACCAGGCACATATATGCATCGGTCCAAGTTACCATACCACATTAACACAGCAAGATGAACACCAGATTCACAGAAGTAGCTAATCCAATGGTAGTAATACATAAAAGAAAGATTGCATATAAGAATATAGTACAGGAAGAAAGAATTGGTTCGTAGAAAGAAATATATGAGGCGATTTCAATCTCGTAGTTTAAGGGAAGACAGGGAGTGTATACACCGACGCCATTGTGATCGATTCTGAGCCATATCACCCAGAGTCTTCAACCATTGGTTACGATAGTCACGCGGACTCCAACACCGGTTAGCATTGCACGACGTGGTAATCGGTGTTCAGGCATACGTAACACGTGGCCCAACCATCTCAGTCGATGAAGATTCACAACCTCACTAACTGGTTTACCATCATTCCCTAATACCCTTGCGTCTAACCTCACTATTAATTAGCTGGTGATCACAGCAGATGCGAGCATCTGTGGTCAAAACAGAACGAACTTCCGCGCAGTATACTCGTCCTTTTATTGATAGACGGATATCTCGCCTTCGCCATAGGTGATGTGAGTTGACAAAAGCCAAACGAGCTTTACGAATCCGTGCTGAGATTTCGTCAGACACCAACCCATTATGGCTGATCAGACTTCCAAGATAAGTGAAGTTGTCAACGCGTTCGACTACTTCACTCCCTATCTTTAGTTCAGGTGTTGACGCAGACCAGTTCTGGAGCAACAACTTGGATTTATAGGGAGAGAAACGCGTTCCAAACATTCTGGCATTGTTGCTTAGTGCTACCAAAAGACTCTACATTTTGTCAGCGTCTTCACCAAACAGGACTATGTCATCTGTGTATTCTAAGTCGATAAGTGGACCTCCTGTTGGGAGATCAATACCCGAGAATTCAGTCGACGAGAACGTTATTTCTAGCATAGGTCTATGATAAAGTTGAACAGAAATGAAGAAAGTGGACAGCCTTGACGAACACCACTTAAAGTGTATTGCTATTTAAGAACTAATTTTAGGAATACCTGTTACTTTTAGGAATTTTTATTATCGAATTTTATGTTGGTCTCTGAATAATGTCTGTTGATGAGTTGCATAGTATATCCATTCAGACGGAGTTACAGGTGATATGAAGTTAGTTATTTACACAGAGTAAATTGAAAATCTAAATTTTACTGCTGTTTATTTAACATATTCTCACAATTTAACATAATATACTGCTAAGGCAAACATAGGATTACTCAATCTTTATCAGTGGTTTTAAGTCATACTAGTAACCGTTACTACTAATGCTTCTTTCTCAATCCAATTTTTTGCGTGACCTTTACCCTTTCCCGATTGCTTGTCACTACTTTTAGTTCACTTATTTGCTGTGTTCTCAGAAGTCATGTTCATGTTACTGAGTTGTACTATTTTAGACTGCCCGAATGCCATGTTTTCCTTACCTTTCTGTTTTCTGTGTTTGCGGTTAATTGTTATGTGCCCAACTGCCGTTATAGAGTCCGAAATAGGACCGTTCGTATTAGTATAACTCAATTTTTAATTCATAGGTGTCTTAGGCAAACCAGAAACCCCGAGACATAATCGTTTTTTTCAAGACATGACATATTTTCGTATGTGATAGAATCTCATTCAGAGAGTACCATTGTATCTTTTTTTAAATTTAATATGTTCTTCAGATATTTTAAAATAACTTTCTCATGTTTTTAGTTACAGTATGAAACAGAAAAATCCAGGTCTAATGTTCACGATGACGATGTATCAGAGGAAAATGTAGATGATGAGATTACGGAAATTCGTCAAAGGAAGGTCGATAATAATGAAGTTCAAGATTCATAATCTCATGTATTACACAGATATTTACATATGCTTAGTTTCTTTCTAATATCACTGTTTCATTTTTTTCAATTGTTTGGTTTCGAACTCCTCTAGACAACTTTTACATACTCGATTCGTTATCGAATTAGATCGTTTTGGTCTAATGGGGTTATTCATGCCTTAGTATGTAAATTATAAGAGTTAATTAACGTGAATATTAGCGCATACGGCCATAATGGCTTATTAATAATATATTTAAAGTAACTTGGTCAAATTATAAACAACTTGCTGTATGTTTAAATTACATCAGTGTAAGAAATGGTAAAATTAGCGGTTATGGTACTGTTGTATAGCTTCTAACGAGTTTTCTTTCTTTTTGTGTTCGGAAATATCATCATTTCCTATAATCTACAGAAAACTTGACATATTAATGGATTGGAAACAGCTACTTTAAATATCTTTGACCACATGAAAATTCTCATTTACGAAATACTGGACAGGGGGTAAATCGCGCTTGCAGAAATCTTAGTTATGATTCATCGTTTTGTTAATATAGTTGACACCATATATATAAAGATCATGCTGATGTCAATATTTTGAGTGTATTAGGTAATTGACTTTCAAAATGTAACAAACACAAATAAGCAATTCATAAAATGTGGAAAACAACTTGCATCTCATCAGGTTGAAGAGAGATGTTCTAAAAACAGCTTATTAGTTTATAAATTAATTTAAAAATTCTGTTAATAAATAGTTGGGAAAAAAACAAGATTAATGCTTGTTTTGGAACGATTCAATCTGCCTTAAAAAGCATATATTTTAAGTTCTATTAGTAAGTTTCTTCACGTCCTACTTTTCTCCTAATATTATTATTATATAAACATAATGTTGTTGATATTTGCGGATGTTTATTGCGATACTGAGTGAAGTTAAGTACGCTAAACAACCACTCCAATAAATATAGAGTAAAACCCGAAAGTTATTACCTCCAATGTTTTGTCACGCCTCAAATCAGAGCAGTAATAGAAGAGGGAAACAAGGAAGTAAGTTACAGGAATTCTCCTAGTAGATAACCAAAGCTATCACAAGACTGCTAATAATTAAAACAAAATAATGGACGAAAAGATAGATGACTCTTGGAATTGTCAAATGAAAGAAATCAATAATTTATACTCTCATAATCTGATGTTTCTCATAAACACCAGTTTCTCTGACACATCAAAGCCTGGAAACAGTTCATCTCAAAACAATAGCTATGAAAATGGATGACGGTGATATTTCAATGGAAGTCCAAGTATACCACAAGCTGAATTCATCACTTAAGACGAATAACATGTTGAAATAAGTTTATTCCACAAATGTAAATCATTTTCTGTTATGCGAAGAAAAATCGTTATTTGCATTTTACAGAATCGTCTGTAAAAGGTTTCGTAACGATACTGTTTCACAACTTATCAGATAATAGCAGTGCATTATGCTGTAAACATGTTTACATAGTAATCAATAAGGAAAGATGAGTCTTTGAAAAGCCGAAGTGTTCGTCGTCATAGTGATCAGGAAATTAGACATCACGGAAAGACCCTATAAAGCAAGCTTACAATTTGGCCGACTGCCGAATGTAAATATCATGAAATGCATGACAGGACATTACTGAAGTACAAAGCGATAGGCCCAAATGACAAGTACGCTTGCTATCTCATTGCCTCTTGTCTTACTGGACTGCGAAAATTTCGAGATCACAATGCAAATAATTCTAATCTAGCAGAAATGTATATCTGAAGTACAGGAAACTTTTATGTGGTCAGTTGACGGCTTGAAACAGCAATACCTAATAAACATACTTCCTGTCACGAGTATTATTGATGGTGGATTCCTCGTATGATTGTAAACCGTCTACTGTAACGAGAACCGCTCCAATTATTTGTACATGAATACGGGGATCGTTCACTGAATGTGGCGACAAATAGTTAGGCTGTTTAAAGTTTAAATTCAGAAATTAAATCAACCCTAATGTACAGGTTGCACCAATTAAATGGCATAATCTCTGTTGTATCCGATCTGTTCTAACTATAATCGAAATTAATAGAACCGGTCAGATAATTGGACTGAACAATCAAGAAGGAAAAAGCGAATTATTTATTCTCCCTTCCCAATGGGATTCTTCCCTCACATAATCTGAGAATTCTTATTAAGCATTGCAGACTAAATTGAATGATTCTCTTAAACTGACGTTACCCTAAATGTTCTACTCTGTATGCGTTAAGGTAACAAGAACCGCCGTTTGCCACTAAAAATAAGTACCATAAGCATTCGAGAATCATACATTACAAATAAGTGTTGTTTGGAGATGCTATGTTTTATGTTTAAGGAACATTAAGAAGTTTACCAGATAACGTATACTAAAAATGCGCAAAATATGAAACTTGCCAAACAACTATAGAAGAAATATGTCATCTTAATGAAAATACATTGATTTCAGTTACTCAATTTTGATACATACCTAGGTATCAGTTGTCATTATTTATTTATTTCTATGGTAGATACAACTGCACGCTGAACGCAGCATTAAACATTTCTTACCTATTTTATCGAGTCTTATTGCAGGTTTTATTAAATGTATTTAGTAGAATCCAGTACTCTTGCGCTGTGCTGATGTACGACGAGCAACAACCTGAATTCATACACATCTGCTACAGGCCTTATGATGATGAAGACTGATCAGCCCCAATCAATGTAAAATATGCTCTCTACACAATTTATCACTTTCAAAAAAATCAAACATTACGTAGCCATGATTTAATTAGATTCTTTAAATATTGGATTTTTTCTCAAAAGTACATATTTCTACACAGTGCTATGTAGACAAAATAGTGATATAGTAAACAAATAAATTTAGTTATTACCATATACCAAATAAACATATACACAAAATTAAGACCCTAAACAAAATAGGGAAATAATCATTGCACGTAGGCGTGAATCATCATATCCGGCGATAATCCAAAAGTATCAAATACAATTTTCTCTAGAAGTGAATGCTAACAAGCACTTATAGCAAAGTAATAACAAAGTTCAGTAGATTGTTGTAAACAAAACATTGACAAATTTACTTTTGTTTTCAAAACCATCTTATGATGACTTGATTCGATAACTTTAGTCGCATTATAAGGAATTATGATATCAGGCTTAAAAAATATTCGGCTAAGGTTAGTTATCCTCTGACAATTGCCTACTTTCCCGGTTAAATAGCGTTTCGACTAAAACACATAACAGTTATTAGCAAGAAAAAAACTAAGTATGCGGGAACTAGAAAAAGGAAACAAATCATGCTATGGTTGGAAAGCCTGTCAACCTACAACATGACTTCAGGGGTAGTGAGATGGCTTCAAGGATTGATTTTTAGACTAAAAGTTGTACTGAAAAAGGTCCTATCAGCCCCCGTGCTGGTCTCTTTGTACTAAACGAAATTGTCATCGCAACGGTCAACTATGGGTAAGTGCCCTCTACTGTGCCTAGCAGTTTACACTTACGTGTCAAAGTACATACATTAAAAAAAAGTAGGTTTTGCATCCGCATCTCTGAACATGTTCCACAAAATAAACGAATAATATTTTCAGTAGTGTAAGCGCTTGTCATTTACAGTGGATATGATGTTGATAATTCAAAATTCTTTAAAATAACCAGTAAACAAAAAAAATCGAATTTGTTGAGCTTCACTGGATTGCTCATTTTTTAAGTATTATATAAACAATGACAGGAATCTCGATTTCGGAGAATTTTTCTTCGTGATCTTTATAGTGTTCTCTTCTAGAGTATTTAATCTATAAATGAATAAACAGTCATTTAGATGATTCTTTCACAATTGTTTTTTTAATTAATCTACATATCAGACCCAACTGTAATTAAAACTTCTCATTTGAAATATGTATACTCGTATTTTTTTCTCAAAATGATTAATACTACTCTTTCTAGACTGTAAGCGGCTGACAAGAAACCACGAAATAAATTAATTCTAATTATTCAGCTACAGTTGTTATTCTTTATTTATAAGTGGAAATAGAGGAATTTTAAATCTTTCCTCTGGTGAATCAGCTCATATATATTTAGGTGTATGTTTATTAAATAATTTATTTATGGTATTTTATTATTTTCCTAATTATGAGCTTCCGTTTGACGCATTAACTGTTGCTATACATTTTTCCATTCATAAATTATAGAATTTTACTACATATGAGATCACGTGAGTTTACTCATAATACAAGATACTGTACTAGCTTGCTAGTATTTTGATTGGTGGTTAGAGACTGGTGGACATTTGTGTGGCCAAATCGGTGTATGTATATAATTTAGCAGAGCTAAAAAGTTAGTTTCGATAGTGTAATAAGAAGACGAAGATTATCAGAACTCTGTGATATATTAGCGCAATACATTTCGAACAATCTGATCACACATATACTTGTTAAGAACATTTATGTATAAAAATAAATGGTCAACTAGACAAGAAATAGAGGATAAGAGGAGACAAGGATAATAATAAAAGTAATAGTAATATGAAACTTAATCACTCTGGATAATAAGCTAATATTACCAGGGTAGGTTTAAGATGAGAACAGTGTTTTTGAATACACAAAGGAAGTTTGGATTTTCGGATGGCTAAGGTTTCAATAAACCCCAGTATACGCCCTTTATACTTCTATACAACACCACAAAAGCCGAGCTAAGTTCAATCTTATGGCCTGTTACGTCATGGTAAACACAGTGGGATGTGACACAATCATTTTCATGTCTTTTAGGTTCTGGATGAAGCATGAACCTTGTTCTTTCTTTGATAATGACTTCGCTGCGCAATACATTTTGTTGATGACTGATTGAAGCCTTTTATTTCAATAAAAGGCTATTTGAATCACCTCTAAATGGTGATTTTTATGTATAAATTTTCTTAACAAGTATATGTGTGAGCAGATTGTTCGAAATGTATTGCGCTAATATATCACATAGTTCTGATAATCTTCATCTTCTTATTACACTATCGAAATTTATCAAAGGGACTAATTGCTTTAAAAAGTTAGTGTTATTTGCGTAAACGGGAAATACAACAGCTCTGACCAATTATTATGTATGAAACTCACTAGCTGGAATTCGAAAATGAAACCCAATAGTTGAACATTAAATGCTGTAATGACTAAACTAGACCGTGGTGAAAATTAGGGCAGAAATTTAAATTTTTTAACAGAAAAAATGCGTATATATTTTTTCATACATCCAGACAAAAAAAATAAATCCAATCAATAAGAGGAAAAATCCAATTAAAATTACATGGTTGTGAATTGTACTGAAGAGGTTAAAGTGACAGCATACTTTTGAATTTGTATACATAAGCGAATGAAGTAATTGGTAAGCAAATAAATAATTCAATATAGGAACGTTCATTTAGGAATTTCATCATTAGTACAAATTAAAATATGTAGTAAAATGTTGAGGCCTATGTTTTTTTATACTCACAATGCGTGGAGCTGAACCGTGAATTCTTATAAAAATGGGTTCAAATACAGGTATGTAAAATAATTTAGAAGAACTTCCTAATAAGAATCACTTGTAAAATAAACTGGATTCATTTGTGTCGAAATAAATTCTTCAAACAGAATAGTCTTCATTCAATGAATACCGACTAATTACAAAATGAAAAACAAATATAGAAACCTCCAAACAAATCAGAAGAATAAGTTTCCTCTGATCAGACCAACGAAAAAACGTCAATTTGAACTAAGAATCATGATGATCAGCGCTAAAAGGTGTTTAAGTAAAGCTAAACCATTATACAATTACTAATAATTCAACCAGATTAAAATTTCATCAATCATAAATAAGTAGGTGTTAATCATTAACATTTCTCTGTCACATTATTTTATTTAGGATCAAACCAATGTAAAGTATGATAGCAAGTAATGAAACTACCATGTAAGATATTGATTACTCCCTTCTGAAAAACAACAATTTAATCATAACATCATTCTTACCAGTCATAGTTATAAGGATTTATCGTTGTTAGAAAAATTATTATATGTGAATAAAACAAACAATATCAGATATTATTAGCGTAAACAATGATTTATAATCGGAAACAATATATGATTTTATACTTTTTATCACAAATTTCATGTATTAAATGGATATTCATAGAACAGAATAAAAGGCAAAGGTATTTGTAATAATCCTAGTGAATATATAACCATTTATATTCTTACATACGTTGATGTATTACTTTGAAACTTTACAAACAAACAAAAAATTGTTAATGTTCTGGCCAATTTTATTCCTTTACCTCTTTCCTTCAAAAAACAAACTAGCATAAACAATTATGATATAAGGATAACATTAGTAGTAATAAGGATGGAAAAACTTAAAAAGATTATTAGAGATCTGTTGTATATGAGATTTGTAAAACCAAAACAAAACAAAAAAACAATATCCAAACAAGAGCAAACACACGAATTGAAAAGGCACATGAAAAACAAAAGGAGTATGATAACTATCCAGTGTAAGAAAATTATCATAACCTCCTTCTTATATCTTTTTATACAGAACTGAAATATACTATTTCGTTAGTAATAATGGTATACAAGGTATTACCAAAAATGTTTGTAGAGATTAACTGGCATGCTGAAATTGCAAAAAAAATTTTCCAAAACATAAGATTATTATTATGTGATAAAATTTTTAGACTAGATTATCCGTCTGAAAAAAAGTGGGAAGCAAATGTTATAATTAATGGCAGCGACAAAAAAAACCAAGATAAGCTGATAGTAGTTCTTTGTCCCTGTTTTGGCGTGGGGTTTGTGTGTTCTTAGTCAATAAATAAAAACTTCTGCCGTGAGCATTATTCTTTATGGTAACCATTACGAAGTGCTTGTTCAGAACTTCTTTTAGATGGTGGTACTAAATGGGCAGGAAGTGTAGGCGGTAATTCGTAGCCTTCTAGTTTTAATTTCATTATATAACAGACTAAAGCGAATTCATCAGCATCTAGACAACCATCACGATCAATATCACCTAGTATCCAAATATTTTTCAATGCACTATAAGGTAAATTGGATTTGACCATATGACTACGTGAAGCTTCACCACTGATTTTACCATCCACAGGATTTAGTTTGTCAAACTCCTTTAGAATGAAAAAAATGCATAGAAATTATATACTATTATTATCAATATACAAAAAAATTCATTGAAACCTGGGAATTATCAATTTCATAAGGTTAGGAATAAGCCCTGATGAGTAACTGGATCCCATGTTCACTCTAGACTTATACCAATCAATAATATCTCAAAATTATTAAAAACTGTTATTTGTTAAAAATGATTGATCTTCAAGTCATAAAAGAATAGACTTAAGTTAAATATATTTATAAACATTGATAGTCGTATTACAACTCGAAAATTCTGGTAAAAATTGTACTAGACTAATACATAAGTTGTATTCACAACTTTCATGCTTGTACAACACAGTTTTTATATTTTTAATGGCTTGCATTACGAAGTGATCGTAATCAGATAACTATTCGAAACAAAGCAGCGCTTGACAGCAGTTTTTTCCTAGCACAGGACTCAGAAGTGGATACTCAAAACATCACCAGGAATTGAACTTCGGATCTTCAGTTCTCATAACCAGAGCATGACCTTTGGACCACTGCGGCGGCATCCTTTGGTCTTCATGTCAAAGTGCAATATTTTTATGATGTAGCACATCCATATTACAATGTAATCTGTAGATAACTGCCTCATATCAAACATGGCTGGACTCCCCTAATTACAGTTTCTCACCAGGACTCCGAGAATTACCTATCGAAACTAGTTAGTAAAGAGCATACATGGTAATTTTCAGTATAAGATGTTTGTGGAGGTTGTTAAGTTTCATAGTTTATATCAAATTCTAAAGATTAAATAATAGCCGCACAATCCGCAAGTCCTGGTCTTGATTCTCAGTGGCAGTGTTCACAGCTGACAGGTCCTTCTTGACAATTGCTTCCTGGTTTTCAATGGTTGTTTAGCTAAGGTTAGGTTGTGATATGAACCATGAAATTTAATAATCTCCATGGTTTTCCTAAACTTATTATTACATTTTCATTTATTTGTGTACCTGTATTAGACGAAGGTTTTCTATATGGTGAACAGTTGGTTTTACTTTTTGAATATAACAGCAAATTAACTGGTGACAGTGGTAAAAACGAATGTCATATTGATTAACACAAAATTCGAAAGAGATCAATACTTTAAAGGGTCATATATAGAATTGATACTGTGAATTTTTATACTGTCTTAAAAATGTGATAATTAATTAATGCTAAATATTCCGACGCACTTCTAGTAAGAATTGATATTCAAGCACAATAATTGATTTAATAAAATTGAAACATGACTGAAAAGCATATGAGTTTTGCAGTTAATTAAAAGTCATGGATATCAGGGCACAAAATTAAATACACATTTATGCACACATTAATAATTAGATGATGAATGGCAACTTAATGGTTAGAGCAATAGAGCAGTATTCTTAAAAGTTACCAGTTTAAACTACACGTGACTAACTTTTGATTTGGACAGCTAAGTAATACAACTAATACTGGCATTAAATGCGTAACTTAGAGTCATGTAGATGATCTGGGATTACGTAACCAAAATGCGTTACTTATGATCATTTTAACACTCCATTAAGGTGTGAAATTTCAGTGCCTCAGTTACTATCTGCTTTGCTTCGAAATGCATTCGTGAAATATAGGAAATAAGAAGTTATATTGAAGGATATATATAAGAGAGAGCAGGAATTTTCTTTCTGAATCCTATCAAAACATCCTATTTCTGGGTAGTGTTCAATCAGTATGAGAAATATGGAATAGAAAATAGTTCAAAATTAGTATCACTAAAAAGGATTTATACGTATCTTTTCTTGCAAACAGCTATTATAACGATCCATAAGAAACAATCTTCTTACAAGTACATTTTGATACAATGTAAAATAGAACTAATGTCTTTAAATTATACTGTTGTTTTTACAATTTTAGAGAAAAACTAAATATGTCACATAGATTATACAATTGACGTAATTGTCAAATTTGTTTCGATGATGAATTTCAAATGGATTTATTTCATATTAGATACAGATTTCAAACTTTCTTTAAAGTATCTTTTTCTGGACACAACATTTCCCTTTAAATGGTATAAACAACTTTTTATTTACAATTTTAATCATCGCTATAATTATCTACAGATAGTAGAGAAGAGGCATAGAAACTGAATACGTACAACTAGTGAAGTAATAATAATAATTTATATATATATATATATATATATATATATATATATATATATATATATATATATATATATATATATAAACAAGCGGGTACAAGTATTTGTACTAATGTTAGTGAACTTATTCATTTTTACATACGATATTAGGACGATATGTGATTGACTAAAGCTGAATGTAAATCCTAGTAATATTACTATTATTATTATTATTATTATTAACTTTATTAAAACATAATTCTTGTGTATTAACTACCAGCAGATATTTTTATTCAATTTTATTTTTATTAACTGTCAGTGTAATTAAGTACAACAACATTGAGTCAGTTATTTTGAAAATAACAGCAAAACCCGAGATCAAATTCAATATGATTATGCAATAATTCTGGTTTAAATATTATAATTTCTTTTTTTTCCTTAGTACATGTAAGAAGATTAACTCGTCAGCAAACCAGTGTAAATGTGTTATGCTTTCAACCACACGACCATGCAAGCGTAAAAACTATATATATATATAATAGCAGTAGGACAAGAGACATATGAACCAATAAGGATTAACAACCAAGTATTTAAACAATTATGTCACAAGCTTCGTGTAGAATCCTTTACACTAAAAGTGCAATTTGGATCACAAATGACCATATCATCATGAAAAGAAATATGAAGACTGAAAGGATAGTCTGAATGACTTAAATAACATAAATGCGGTGCGTTGAAATTTGAAAGAATTCAGTCATTCAATAAAGCTTAACCCTAGTATATTATGCGAATATTAATAAGTTTAGTTTGATTTACTCAATAGATATGTTAGTATAATAAAAACCACAATTTTTTCGCAAAATACACGTTACTAAATAGCCAAATGAATGTTATTGAGGAAGATATTTTAATCATTTGAGCTTATGCGTGAATATGATTGGAATTTCAAGGACATGGAAGAGTGACTTCAAATTTGACGGGACAACTATTTGAAGCCGGTCACAGCCTTTTTCGCGTAGTTTTAAATTAGATAGCTCCGTACATGTAAACCCTCAACGGTGGACACGGGAATACTTGTAACATAGTGAGGTCTGTTAATTTTAGGGTCGACCTTTCTTATTCCTCTTCATCTGTTGTCGGAAATTAGCATCGCTGCAGATGCGGGTTGTTTGAAGGTGACACTTTAATGCTGTCGCACCCTCATACAGTTGGGAGTAAAAACTTGCCCTCAACTCACGAGGTCGCTGTTTTTACTGTCATCGTTCTCCAACAAATCTATCTGATCTGGAGAGACGAGTGTTCAACCCAGTATTAGCTCGGTTGGGTTATCATGATATCCAAGCCTCATCACTATGTCTAGGTAAAGGGAACATTGGGATATTTCTCATTCATTTTAGTGAGTTTTACGTTTCTGACTTTAGTTTTCAGATGTTCCTGGCAAATTTAACAGTTTGGACTGATGTACACTGTCAGGTTCAACGCTGCATCACTAATCTGTTATAGGTTTGTAATCATGAAGTCTGATCAACCCTGATGCATTTGGTGTCTGACGAAACCTTGGTACAAATTCAGAAATCTCAGCTGGCTTGTGGCAAGATATCCATCTATCAACCAAAGGATGTTTTCAGTGTTCAGCAGTTCACTTTATTCTACATTATAGGTGTGAAACGTGGAGATTAAGAACAAAGGATGTCCGTAAGTTGCTAGTGTTTGACCACAGATTATTTCGAAGCATCGTAAGCGTATTTTAGGACCACCGAGTGAGCGAAATTGAGGTTAGATGTAGGGCATATAAAGAAGATAGCAACTGGGACTGTCAGAACGTGTATTACTTATGCCCGACCATAACTTACATGAGATGACGGCTGGTCGAGTAGGTTGGAAGAAAGCTAAAAGAGATAAAACTAACTAGTGGTATCAGTCCATGCAATCATTGACTGTTGGACTGAGCTGCGTACGCAGGTGCAGACTACCTATTTCGGAGCGGTGCAATAAACGTCACCAATGGTAAGAGACTTTTGGAGAAACGGTTCAGAATAGCTCACAATGACACAAATATATTCCTCCTTGTTTTTCCATGTATCCTAAGCTTCGTAATTATCTTAAAATATTTTTAACCCCACAAACTCTTAGTTTCAAGCCTGATGTTTGCTATTACCGCTGATACTGTTACTGTTTATACTAATTTGGTAACTTGTTGTGCTAATGTGGTGTTGCAGCCTAAACGTATGTGTCGGTTCTACATTGTACATGACTAACCGACTGATACTCTTCTAGAAAACGTATTAAAATCTTTTGCATACTTTATATTTCTACTTACTTTATCCCATGGTTCTCTAAAACGATCAACAATCCAATCCTTTTCAAAGCGACCCTCTTCAAATCCTTCACCAGCATGAAAACTGAATGGTGTACCAGAAGTATCGAATGCACCACCTGTAACAGCTGGACCATGTGTTTCTACGATTGCATCACGTTCCTATTAAAAAACAAACCGTTACATAGGAAGAACGTCAATTTAAATTTATTCAATAAAACTGTTTACTCTGTAACAGGCATAAAAATAGTATTTTTTGACCAAAGAAAGTTCAAATGACTGTCGTCATTAAATATAAAAAACAATCGAAAAACAACATGATAGTTAGTGTAACGGAAACGAAATTTTTATTATAATTCCATAAAACGGAAGCCAAAACAAATTACTAGTTTGGTATGTAATTATTGATTTCTTAGTAGGAAAATCATTAAAAAATGTGTTGACCTACACCTGTTTGCCAAACTAAATGCATAAACTATTAGAGAGAAGTATTTCTAATAATTTTTAGGGCTGCCATCTGTGTCTAATTATTTGAATGATAATTCATTGATCAATAGGGATTCCTTTTAATATGGGAAAATTTCCTAGATCTAGTATTGCAATGTAACTTGTGGGGTGGAAATTCAGACTAGAAATCGATGCCAATTGACCAGACTTTATGATACAGGTCGAGAACATCACAATCAAGACAGTAATGATGTCAAATCATGGGATGACTGAAGTTGTGAAACATGGATCATGAAATTCTGACCCAAATGACTGGATAATTTTGCACTCATAGAAATGACTGGGAATTATGAAATATCAATCTAGAGCGAAGTAGATGTCCATAGTTCTTTGAATTTATCTTAAGAAGTGAAATCAAGGGTATAGTATTGCTGATATTGTAAACAATCAATATCGGACATATGTATTAGTATTTAATGTCGAAAAAATATGCTACATATGTTTGACTCTGAATCACTATTTTAATAATAGTAATTCAACCTTTTAAATGTTAAAAATATCAAAAACAAACAAACATCAGACATGTTTATGTATGTTTTTATCTATGTTCAACAATTTGTATCTAAATCATTGGATTGAAATGAGCAACTGATGAAAATAATAATAACAATCAGTTACAATTAATTATGTGCATATTTACTGAATAATTAACAATTTATAATTGATAATGACCGTGTAAAGATAAGTTGTTAATTGATGAATGAACTGAGTGGAATAGAATTTCGCACTCTATAGTGTATAAACTATAATTAACACTGCTCTCAATAACATAAAAAAAGAAAAGTAATGGGAAATGTTGAAACAAACTAGAGAGAAATATTAGACGGGAGTGAGTTTAAAAAGGATCGACTTAAGAAGTTCCCTACATGAAATTTATCTCAATCAAAGCTACACTGAATAAGCTGAGACAAATATCTATTTGTTTTCAATAACCAAAGGTATTGACAATAAATAATGAACCTTAGTTTACATTTTCGGAATTGTCAAAATTTTGCATTACCGATACCGTCAAACACATCATGACTCCCCTCTTACAACCCATAGTTAAATGGGCAGGTTAAGATTCATGGATACGTATTTTAACAGTTGAATTCACGCGGCGATCTAAGCTAGACCACCATTAAAAGCTTGGAAGCAGTGAATGGTTCTTAATGATGGTCTATCTAAAATCGACCCTTGAATTTAACTGTCAAAATACTACAATCTCCACAAATCCTTATAATGATATTATTCGTGTATTTGCTTTTTTTTAAAAAAGCCCTTTAGATAAAAAAAGGATCGTTTGAAATGCATCCAGGCATAAATAGTTCGTAACTGGTATGTTTCTAGCTATTAGGACACATGTTAGCAAAAAAGGACCTAAATATATATATGGACACCGCGAACTCCATTAAAGTATCCGGAGTTTTTTTGTCTAAGTATTCAAAAACTATAAAGGCCATAAATTTCCTGAATGAACAATGTTATAACGAATATTGGTTGTGTGAATGAAGAGATATTTAAAACAATCGGTTTTTTTGAGAAATATTATCTAAAACCGTATATTTTCACGGGAAATTTTTACACATAATGAAATGAAAGAGTGTTATGTAAGGATGAAAAAAGATTAGACCAAATGTGACTAAAATTTATTCAAAAGGTATGATCCGAATAAATCCAAGGGATTTTCAGAATACGATCCACGTGAAAGAAATTTACAGTGATGCCCAATATGTGGTCTAAATTGATGTTCACTTTGGAGAGAGTGAAGAAATTAACCGTCTTGACTATTTCATATACATTTGATCTATTCTTCCGGTTTATTGAAGAACAAAATATCTGGAGGGACAATGAATCTATTCTAACTGACATCAACTCGTAAGACATGTATGGTAGGAAACATGTCGATCAGAAGTGGAGTATATTGTGAGCTATTTCACTTTGCATCATTCCAAGTCGGTAAATAACAGTCATGTAGAGCAAAAGATCTGAATAGGTTATTAGTATCCTGCGAAAAACATTTTTGAGGTAATCTTTGCGTATAATGAAATCTACTAAGACATAAAGCACAAATTTAAGACGATAAGTCGGTTGATGGAGTTGTAAACCTTCTACCATTTAGGTGACCAAGCTGTTTATTGTATATAGCCAGCTACCACTCGTCACTACTCGTATTGACTAGAATAGGAGCAGACTGGAAAGAGGTAAAAACCCTGATGATATCAAGATATAGCATCACTTCGTGAAATCATTAACAGTTAGTTTGAATTGTGTAGGGATGTGCGAATTTCCTAGTTGGGTACATAAGATGATTATGATCTATTGTCGGAGAATAGATTATATAATGTAAAAATGCTTGTAATTCAGATAATGTATTTATTCTGTATTTTCTTCAGTTTGATGACGCTTACTGCAGTAGACTCATTATTCTAGAACCTCTTTCTTTAGTTTCTAACTAATGGTAACATCATCCTATAGATCATGTCGATCTAACTTTATTATGGAAAAATCAAATAAATACACATTTCTGACAGGTTTTATCTCTGTGTTATAATTTCATCATCATTTCAACTTGGCAGGAACGTAGAATTTTTCATTTGAATCGCTATATTTTCTCGACAAAAATAGAAACAAACTAAAATTTATTGAGGTGTAAATATATCCGAGTAGTGAATCGACGCACTGATTCAACAGTTCTATAACTCAGAAGCGGTTTTGTGGAGATTGTAGTAATTTGAACAGTTGAGATCATGAGTCAATTGAAGTTAGACTGCCATGGAGAACCTGGAAGCACTGGAAGGCCGTTTCATCCTATTGTGGAGCTCCTCAGCAGTGCGCACCCACGACCCCGCCTCGCGGGATTCGAACCTAGAACGTATCAGTATCCTTCCAGGTGCTTAACCAACTAGACCACTGAGCCGCCATCCAACGGTGTTAATGCCTAACTTCAACTAATCCACAAAACCCCTTCTGGTACTAATCAACATATGCTCACTAATGACTGGCTTCAAGAGATATGTCCTGGAGTTCTAGTGAGAAGCAGTGACCAGTGGAGTTCAACCGGGTTTGTTGTGAGGTAGTAACTCACTGATGACAATGGTGGATGTGTCGCTCAATTTCGTGGATTAGTTGAAGTTAGACATTAACATAGTTGGATGCCGGCCAGCTCAGTGGTCTAGTCGGTTAAGCGTTCACGCGCGAGACCGATAGGTCCTGGGTTCGAATCCCGCGAGGCAGGATCGTGGATGTGCACTGTTGAGGGGTCCCACGATAGGACGAAACGGCCGTTCAGTGCTTCCAGGTTCTCCATGGCAGTCTAACTTCAATTGACTCATGATCTCAACTGTTGAAAGTTCTATAACTATTGAAAAAATATCATATGAATGAGAATCTGTATCTTAAAAGACGAATAGGCCTTAGATTATTAATGGTTACAGAGATGAAATCATTTATTCAAATCATGTAAGAAGTATTATTAGAGATACCAGTATATATATGGTGAAAGTGCATTATTATTATTAGTAGTAGTAGTGGTAGTAGTAATAACACTATTTATCTAAATCTCTTAGGCATTTTAAATCGTGGAACAAATATTGCAAATTTTAATCAACAATAATAAAACATGATCTTAACCATTGAAATTACTATAATATCCACAAAACCCATCTGATATTAATAATAAAACATTTAATATGGTTTTTAGTTCAGTTGTTATTTTAGGGTCACTAAAGTAAATCGATTTAACTTGATATATTTTTTCTGATAAATCTAACCGATTAGTAGAAATATAACTATTATATACATGTTGGTTGTATACTAAATTATTATGTATTAGCCTACCAAAAATACTTGTTATTTGTAAACCATATAAATGAATTCACGGTTAGAAATTTATAATTAAATTTATTTACTGAACTATTCTTGCGAGCCGTTATCAATCATAGAGATTCTTTGTGTATTGAACTCAGTAAAGTTGTTTAATTAGATCATAAAACTTTTTAGTCTTGCGGCCCAGTGGAATCTAGGATCTTTAAACTGATTTACATAATATTAACAGGATCTAATTATAACTTACAGTTTTGACACAATTTCTGATACACGAATGGAAGTCATGATGCTTCAATTCTCAGATTGTTATCTACTGAGATATATAAATTGGAATAAACAGCCCTTATCAAATTACAAACAATCAATATAAAAGGCTGACTGTTAGATTTTATTCTTACTTAAAGAAATTACACGTACGTTCATACATCATTGAACAATTTGAGTAGACGACGACAATTAAACCTAGTATTTTATGAGATCAAGGCTATCCAAATCACTAAACGGTTATTTGCAAAAAGACTCACCAAATCTTAAACCGATTTGACGACAACTGATCATAAGAAGAAATAAGCCGACAAAAATAATATCTATAAAACAGGCAAGGATATAACGCAACTAGTGTTACTCTTCCGACTTTGTTTAAAATTTTTATTGTTTGTAATGTCGTTCCATGACTGTTGCTCTCCCTGTTTCAAATGACCCTGTCTTTTTTCTAACTAACTATTCACTTGTACCCTTATCAATATGTTCAGTACACGCTTCCTTTAGAAAAAATCCATTTTTCTACTGAAATTCTTCTCTCTTCGTTACTTATAGCTGCCAAAATCTATGGTAGTGAACAGTAAGCA